TTACAGCTAACAACAGATCTAAAAACATTTACAAATTTTTCATCATCGTCTGTTGGTGTTTATTTTCCATCTGACTCCTTCAGTTATGAAGAATTCAACACATAGACTTATTTGGTGTAATCTTTTTTGCTCTGTTAACGCTTAAAAGTCGTCATATAACACTCCAAAAAAAAAGTTTGTAAAAAATTTTTTTAGAACGAAAAAACTAAACAGTTCCGTTGAAAACGTTATTCTATCTGCCAATATATCTAAGGCCAGAAACTTTCATCAACAACAGTTATGTCGTTGTCTAAACAAACGATTATGAATTAAAACAGTTTGATGGAAAAAATTTTAATATTTCTATGTAGAATTAATCGTTAAGCCAAACAACTCTGATTAATTAACTTTTGAATAAGGTCATATAACACTCCAAAAAAAAGTATCATATTATAACAAATAATTACCGAAAAAATAAAAGATATGGTGACAACAAAAATTTAAATTTTTCAGAATTAGAGGAGAAAAAAATAAAAGAATTGCAGCAATTAACTTTTGTGAATGAACATTTACGCACGAAGAAAAAGTGTAAAACTGTGACTTTTTATACCCAGTCACACGTTTTTTTTTCTTTCGATGCACTTCCCTTGAGGTTGGTTGATATAGCAGCCTTTAATGGTGTTAATCCTCCCTTTCTTTCTGGTTGTTATGCATTTCAACTAAACTAATTAACTGCACTGGTCTGTTTGCCTCTTAAATATGAAGCTGTTTCACGCAACAGTTGAAAACATAAAAATTCAAAAATTTATTGGATGACCACTGCCTTAGAAAACTATAATTGTTGCCTAGCATTTCTAAAAGTAAAGCGAAAAAAGCATATTTATTTCAGTTTGATTGAGTTTACTAAAGTTACAGTGTGTCAAAAAGCTATATTTAGAACTTACTAGAGAAAACTGAAAAAAAAAAAAACAGATTTTTTTTTGTCTTAGGCGTTGCTACGTTTGACTCAAAAAAAAGTAATTTCTATAAATTCCATTTTTTTGTTGAACTTCTTTTTTGGATACATCTCTTATATAAGAACGTTCTTCATTTCTTCCTGCTTGCTTAAGCTATAGTCTATGAAATTTTTAATAAATAAGTATCTCATTTAGCACTAACAAATATAAATGTTTGTTGTGGCTAAATACTTATTAACAGTATTCATCAGCACAGTAAGAAAAATAGTGAATAAGCAGTAGCTGGTTCAGTAAAAAGACTTTCTGACAGGTGGATAAAACCACGTTTTTCAAAATTTACTTCTTATATGCGCTTAAAAGAAAACTTAGTATTAATGTATTAATAATTTTAGCTGTACCTTACTAGAGACTTCTTCATAAATTAGTTTTTATTATAATGGTAGAAAAGAGTTAATTTGTCTGTTTAAACTAGATATTAAAAACAACCTAAACATATTATAGATAAATCTAAAAAACTGCTGACTTTTCCGAGCAGTACATGAGTCAGAGGTTGAGAAGCTAAATTTAACAACCAAATTCTTCCTAAGTATTGCTTTTCGCTGATTTTATGTCGCTGTTTTATTCTTTTTTTTCGTTGTACCTTTGTTAGACATTTCACAAACAACTTTTTGTACTCAAAATTAATAAGCATTTTCTGAAAGAATTGCAACAACTTATATTGCTTATTGCGGTATTCATGATTCAAAAGCTGTCGTCAGAAATAAGCGATGGCACAGCACGCAGGCATTACCAGTTGCACAAATTTTAACATGTAGACTGGAAACTAAAAGTTACGTGTCACGACCTAAACAATAAATATTTTTGTTTGAGCCAAAAAATGAAAAGAAAAAACAGTAAAAAAAGAACCAAAATTTTGGTTCAAAATGATAAAGCTCTGACACATTAATAAATGAGTAAAAAAGATGTTTAATGAGTAACCTGTCGCTGTTTTATAACAATAAGGAAGTGGCTTTCAATTTTTATCGTTATACACAAACTAAATCTGTCATAAAATAGTCTTAGTGCTTAAGCTGCTAAAAAACAAATTTATCATCTATTTCTTCGGTTCGAAACAACAATTAGCGTTTTTGAGAAAGTGAATGAAAAGCCATTTTTAAACTTCTTACTTCCGAATAATTGACTAACTAGCTTTATTATAAAACTAAGCTAATTTCCAGCACCTTTTCGCTTCTTTTCCGCTAAACCGACTTTTAGGATTTTAAATCGTTATTCAGTGTGCAAGTTTATTTCGCAGAACGGAAACCATGAATTTCATGTGAACGTAATACCTGCACACATCTCTTTCCTTTGATAATTGTCATCGTTACGCAACTGTTTATTCACCGCTGCAATTAGTAGCTTCATAAAGTATTTACAATCGCCGACTGAAAAAATTGTCAAAGCGTCAAAAAAAAAAATAAAAAATAAAAATTATTGAAAAAATACTTTTATAAATTATTATTCTC